GTGTCCGCCCTTGTCCGTTGGCCATGAAACATTTCTATTCATTTGTTCCCAGGTCCGTTACTGCTGGTGTCCGCCCTTTTCCGTTGGCCATGTAGCATTTCTATTCATTTGTCTCCCAGGTGTGTCACTGCTGGTGTCCGCCCTTTTCCGCAGGCAATGCAGCATTTCTATTCATTTGTCTCCCAGGTCTGTCACTGCTGGTGTCCGCCCTTGTCCCTGGGCCATGTAGCATTTCTATTCATGTGTTTCCCAGGCCTGTCACTGGTGGTCTCCCCCCTTTTCCGCTGGCCATGTAGCACTTCTATACTTCTATTCATTTGTTTTCCAGGTCTGTCACTGCTGGTGTCCACCCTTTTCCGCTGGCCATGCAGCTTTCTATTCATTTGTTTCCCGGGTCTGTCACTGGTGCTGCCGCCCTTTTCCGCTGGCCATGTAGCATTTCTATTCATTTGTCTCCCATGCGACTTCTGTCTTTTTGTCTTTCAGGTTTGGTGCCTGTACTGCTGTTTTCTGCCGCGTGACTGTCTCCGGGAGTGCATTCCTGCCACACTGTGTAACTCTCTCAGCTTTGTTTTCCTTTTCGGGCAAGCGTTCCATGAATTACCGGATTGGATTTTGTGACAGTCTCAGGGCATGCGTCAGGCACCAAACATCAATTTCATGTCACATCCTTCGCTCCTCATGCTTTTATTTCTTGTCTTCACGTGGTCAGCTCCTTGCTGATTGAGCAGCATGACCAGCATCATGTTCGCACTTGAAGAATAATTCCCCAAAAGGTTTACTGTCAGGGCTTCTCAATTCTTTCTTAAGATGTGTCCGCCCGCTCTGTACTGCTGTGTCCGTTTTTGCCTTGCAATCCTTTACACTCGTCTCCCAGCTCTGGGCTGCTGTGGCCGCCTCTGCCTTGCAATCCTTTGTCTCCCAGCTCTGGACGTCGCAAGCTCTAGTTTCGATGTTGAAAAACACAAACTGGTTGGGGTCTACGGTGATGTAATTTCAGTATGTTTCAGTCGTAAGTTGTATTTATTCACTGAGCCGTCTTCGCACATACAGTAAGCGAGCGGTTTTCCGAAAAAGACCTTCTTGGAACTTCAGAGTTTGGTTTGAACACAGAGGACAGCCTTGAGCACTTTCTCGGACATGACAGACGAACTCGGAAGCCTTTGTTCGGAAGCCTGTTCTGACCGCCTGGCTGGGCAGGTCAAGATGAACATCTCCGGCATCAACTTCAATGGCTCGATGTGGAAGGTCGTCGCTGGCAACTGCGCGATGGACTCCTCTCATTGTGCCTTGGACCGCCCAAAAGCCGGCCTCCAGGTCAGAGGCGTGGGAATGAATCGAACGAATCAATTCAGCCTTTTTGGATGAAGACTTTTCGTTGCAATGCGTTATCCGGATGGAAGTCATGTGATTGCTTTATTTTGCCTTCTATCGGGATATGGTCCAAGTCAAAGTACCGAAGCTGAGGTATTATGAGCCCTGGCTACCCCAAGGAGTATCCAGTGAAGGATGCCTGTACCATTGCTGTCAATGAGAGTGCAGCTGTCCCAATCCATGTAGAGCCTTGGTCAAACAGACCATGGCAAGAGAGGTGGGTTGGGCAAAATCCGACTCTGATGCATCTCCTGTTTTGGGAAGCCAATGCTTTTGGTTGGATTCCACTTTCTTCCCTAGGTGTGTCGACTTCCGGCATGGTATTCTCTGGAATCCTTATTTTACTTAATACTCAAAATTGATTTGGATGTGTTTTCAAAAATTGGATATGACTTGATTTTTTTTTTTTTTTTCAGGGGTGTTGATTTCAGAATTCTTTCTGAGTTGATTTTTCCCAGGGCTTAATTACAGAGTTGATTGCTGAAGTGACTTTCCACGCGGTTTGATGCCAAAGGTGGTCCGTGAACTGATGTTTTCAAGAGCGGTCTTGGTGGATTACAGGGGGCTATTCTAGCCATTGCTCACCACAAGAACCCTTAACGCCTGTCATATTCATATTTACTATCATCAGACACACATGCGCAATATAACAGATGACACGGCCAAATCCAGAATTAGTTTTCCCTCTTAGCCTCTCTCCAGAACAACCCTCGAATCAGCTCCAGAATCAATTTTCCTTCGGAGCCCGTCTCCAGAAACAACCATTGAATCAACCCTGGAATCAATTCTATTTTTTTTCGAAGACACATTGATTTTAGAATTGATTTTTTGTGTTGATTTTAAACATTGATTGCGAAGTTGCTCTCTAATACATGGTGGAACAGGTTCTGAGTCGAGTTTGATTCTGGGGGGTGGTTCTGGAGCAGGGGTGGTATTTGAGGATTCTGAGGTTGGTTCGGGACAGGCGCTGGTGTGGAACATGCGCTCAGCACTCTGGAGCTTGACCCTCACAGCCCTCGAGGCCCTTGCCGCTATTGCAATCTCTGATAGGAAGCTCAAAAGCCAACCCCAGAACAGGTATATGAATTATGCATACCTTTTTAAAGGGAATACCTTTCACAAATCAGTTTATGTATATAGTCAACCTAAAATCAACAACCATAAAATCAATTGGTGAATCAAGGTCCTTCCAGAACTCAAATTTCTGAATCAACTAAAATTGTTTGAGCCTCCCAGCAGAGATTACCACGTCGGGAAGTCTTAATCCTAGGTCTAGTTGTTTGATTCTGTTGTTTGATTCTGTTGCTTGGTGCCAAGAGGGTAACCGGAGAGGAGAGCTAGCAGACGGACGACTTCATGATTAAGACATATCTTATTTGATTTTATTTGCCTGCATCTAGAGCAAATTATGTGTATTTGTCAGAAAAGCAAACCGTGGTTCACAGCACGCGGCTGAGGTGAATTTTTCGACCGAGGAGAAGTTTGATGCCTTGGTGGAAAACTGCAAGTTCTATTCTGGCAAGACACTTTGCAGCAGATATGAACACATCATGTATGATGTAGTGCTACTTGGGGCTTTGCATTTATTCAGCAAAAGCCAGTCACCATCTCGAAGATGCCCGCGCATGTTGCTTGTCCCTTAAGGAAAGGGCCAGAAAAAGTGGATGCTTGGATAGAACTGAGATGGGAGAGGTCAGTAGAGAACTGGCTGCCAAACCTTTGAGCAAGGGAGACGCGACGTTCTTTTGCATCCCGGAACCCCTACAGTATCATTTATTGTTTGCGCTCCCAATTGAGCTCACGGCGCGAGCCCATCTAGATGCTCCGACGAGCCTGGTCCTTGCTCCGATTCGTCTTTGCCTCCGGCGTCGAGGTCCCGACAGGAGTCATCACTTGGCACTCCGATGAGAGCGTCGTGAGCGCTGGCTGGAAGATTTGTCCTGGACACTGGCACCTCGGAGCACCGCTTCTCAGAACGCGCCATGCGGTGCAAAGGGCAATCGGACTACTGAGGCACTACTGCTACCTTAGGTTATACTGTGTTTTGTTCAGGTGAAGTTGGGTGTTTACAATGTGGAGACTGACCCGTTTCAAACACTAACACTGACACTCATTTAAGCGAAGGGGTGCGGACTGGTGTCTTGCACAAGACTTGCGTGTCTGCGAACAGCCTTGGCAGTCAGGGCCTGAAGAGCCTGAGCTCACGGATTGACCGGGCTTTGCGCCCAGGACTGTCGCCTGTGTCGTGTAGCCCCGGCGGACAGTGCTCAGTATGGACTTCAACAAGACCCTCGGAGCAAGGGCTGAGCGTGTTTGCAGTTCGGACTCGGAAGACTCAATGGGCGCGCTCACCTGGGATGACTGGTAGCCTACGCGGTTGACGCCGCGTTGACGCTGGCCGGCTCGGCAGCGTTGACAGCAGTATTGCGAAGCGTGGCAGTATAGGCAGCAGTGCATCAATTGACGCATTCGCAACGCTGGCTCTCCAAGGGCTCCGGCGACAGGTTTTGGCGTGTGTATGGGGCATTATAAGGCTTGGTGTCTTGGTTCTGGGCTGTAGGATAAATGAATTAAATGGCCCTACCACGGGCCAGGCGTGTTCAGACACGTTTGCTTTTTTTGCCGAAATATCGTGACCGCTACGTAACATTCTGAAGCCGTGGATTTGGCCAGGGTTGCTAGTTATTATTTGGTGCTTACCGTGCCTTAGTCACCATGGTACGGAACACACAGCCTCAACGCCTGTTGGTCTTGGTGTAGTGCCCTCATCAGCCGACTCAGGTAGTGACCTCAGCTTCATCTGAGGTATAGCGCTGAGGTAGCACTGCTGTCCTTCAAAAAGGGATTTTGTAGCACCTGGAACTATTAGTCAGGGATTTCCTGAAACCATGGTTTTCCAAGTTTCGAGGAACCATTCAGCAAAATTGGAAGACATTTGAAAGATAGTTTGTTAGTTAATGTTGGCTTCTGGATGTCCAATGCAATGTTAGACCCGTTGAAAGTGAGCTGTGCAGAGACACAGACCTGAGATGAATTCAAAATGGACCCCAAGTCTTCGAGGCTTGCCTAGAGGCCCTGAAGATCTGGGGGGTTCCAAGACCTTCTAGGGGTTTCTTGCAGTTGACTCTGTCGCCTCTGACCCAAGATCAGCAAGGCGAAAGGCCCAAAGGCCGATGCACGAAATTTACGTAATCCCAACTGACCGCTGTAAAGACAAAATTTTAATTGAATCCTCCTTGATTACGTCGACTGGCCCAAGATGGCCGGTTTCAACATGGTTTGACCAGCACGCCGCACCATGAGGATGCGTGCAAAGCTGAAGATAGGCGTGGCAGGCCTACAGGGGTGCACCAAGTGCCCTTCTAGCAGCGTGCAGTGGCACCCCTGTGGCGACCTTGGCGGCAGCGCAGCCGTCGGCGGTCACGGTCCCTTTCGGCCTCGCCCAAAGCGTTGATCCGAGGATTTGACTTGCCTTTTGTGGGTGAGTAATGTGAGTACTACGACTAAGACATACAAAACACAAAACGACGCCCTCAAGTTCTTTCGTTTTCCAATCGGATCAACTCAGCACCACACCCAAGGACAGAAATCTCCATGCCCTGCATGGCGAACTCTAAAAGGAACTTCTTGGGATGAGAGTCTCTTGAGATGTCTTGAGTATGTGTTACTAGTAGCGACGCCCTTGTTACTAGTAGTGATGCACTTGCTACTAGTAGCGAATGGAATCAACGCTTGAGAACAATGTTTTTTTGCTGGAGTGTGGTCGCCGCACAAGGCCTCAGTTTTTGGTTCGGTATTTAAGGTGCGCAAGTCATCAAGACGTTTGTCAACGAGGGTGGTAGATGAACGTCTTGAAAAGCCCACAGCTTTCCACGCAACTCATCGAAGACAGGATGATATTCTCGCAAATGTTCGTGGTGGGATGTTTTGGATAAACACGGATTTTTCGTCACGCATCTTTTCGTCCAAGGCTTTGGCCAGGGCTTCGTCGCCGGAAGAATCGCGGTAGCGGGAACCTCCTGAGGGGTTGGCCTTGGTGGAGCCCATCGACGCCAGGAGTTGGAGAAGAAATACGGAAATCTGGGCGATGGGGCCTGGAAAGCTCAGTGGCTTTGGGGCTTTCGGAAAAAACACTGTAAAGCAAAGAGAGAAGCCTGTGGACATGGTATGATATGGCATTACTGTATTGCTGTCATTATACTGACTCCGTAGCCCTCCTATTTGCCAAAAAAACAACCATCAGCTTGTTCTTGGATCCCTCAACGCCACTAGTGAGTCATATCTGTCCTAGGGAACTGAAAGGGCATTTTGTTTGCTTTCAGCATCGATGCTTTGAACACTGCAACGGACTCCGCGTCCTCCGCCCCGAGTCCTGCCTTTTGCTTATGTCAGCTGGAACAACAATCGTGACATGATGACCGATTTTCCTTAGAGTATTTGGCAGAAGAAGGGATGATGGGTGCACGCGTTTCACTACCACCAGCAAAAATGTTCAAATAAGAAGAAGGTGATTCTAACTTGCAACGGAACCAACAGATACTAAAACGATCTAAACTGATTCAAGTGTTGTTGCGGAGAGTATGGACATCAACGTTCGATTCAACACACTTGAAGACATGTTCATTGCCGCTTCGGTTTCAATGCGCCGTTGCGCCTTGGAACTTTGTCTCGAGAGGAAGCCTCCCACGCAAAGATCGTGAGAGATGCTGTCGTTGCTCGGGCCAAAGAATGGATCGTTTAAACATGTTTATATAAGCAAATAGCTACTGGTAGCCTCTAGCTACCAGTACTTGTAGTAGTAATGGCCTCCAACCTACTAGCGATGGCCTCCAACCTAGAAGCCTTTGTTACTAGTAGCTTCTAGCTGACAGAGTTACCGGAAATTGTCTGGGGTATAGGCGGTATGGGCTGATCTCCGAAGAAAACAATTGGATCAAACTGTCCATCCTCGGGGGCCACATGTGATGTACTTATATAGAGGGTACAGTACAGTAATTATTAGGGTTCGCTGTAATACTTATCACTCCTTTCTTTTTCTTGTGATTGTATATATGTAAGAAGCTATGTATAAATTAACCGCTTCAATTCTTCCATCCTGCCTATCCCGCCTTCTTGCGTCGCCCCCTGCGCTTTGAACCACCAACTGCCAAATAGCTGCTAGCTCACAAGCTAGTGTGTGGTCATGACTTGCTTTGTATGTTCAGGGAAGAGTTTAGGTCTCGAGCGTTGAGCTTCGTTTAGCTCATCGCCTCATGAGAACTTCATGAATGCTTCCTTTCAGCACCTAGGTATCGAACCTACAACTCTGAGGACACTGTTCCAGCATTTTGGTGCGACATGGTGAGGCACAGTAGCGAGGTGATAGAAATGTGGCGCTGCCTTTGGGACATTTTTGGACCTATTTTGAAGGTTCACCAATCTCTCTAAGTCTTGCATCGTTTGAACATCCGAGAGTCGCAGAGGACCATCGGCACCGTGTCCTGATCGATAGCAACTTGGCAGCCAGCGTGTGGCTCACGTGCGGTTTGACAAAACCAAGTCGACATGATGGAGAGCAAGTAGAGATTTTGTTGCAGAAGCTCGGTTGGGATGTGGTGAGATGCTGGGGCAGGTGTCCCACCCAGGGGCCATGATTGTTCTACTTCAAAAGCCGACTAGAATTACAGTCGAAAATGGCTCACATCGAAAAGCCTCACAGCCCTCGTTTCGTCCATCCGAGTCGCCTCAAAGTCTCGAAGCGAGGATGGCGCCTCTCGTGTGGGGCGTTCGATTCCCCAATTCCCTCACGACAAGCGACGAGCGACTGCAGGTAAATGGTACCGCTGCCGGCAAGGGCATGAGCTGCGCACGCTGGGCCACTTGATATCCAAGTGAGTCACAGAAGATCCCAGAGGGTAGCCCCTGGTATCCTGGTAGCAGCTGGGAACATAGAGGGGTAGAATAGAATTTGGTATATCAGATCCTCCAAAGTACAGCAACCAGGCACGGTGGTACTGGGATCTTCTAAAGTGTTTGTCGCTTGTATGTGGGCCACCGATAGCCGCAGGGTGAGTAGCTCAAACCACTTCGTTGGTGAAGTTCAAGTGCGTGTCTTCAATGTGATGTTCAGTGCGCTTCGTTTTATCATGTCAGTCTATGATTTCAGTGGAGCATCACACTGAGTGGGCCATGCATGCAACAGCAACCTAGCCGAAGGGTGTCCACAAGGCAAAGGGAAGTTCTTCCCAGGGTCCTTGGGCGAGCCTTGGACGTGTGTTGGATATGCTTGGAGGTTTGCCATATTTGGGGGTGACCTGCAGCCTTTGTGGTCGTGTCCTACCTCCCGGCAGTTGCCTTCATAGCTGTCCGCTGTGCAGCTCAGCCGCAAAACGACTGGGCGACTGGGGGGCAGAGGTGGTAAGAACAGGTGCCAAGAGCTGATGTCCAACTGGCTTCGGAGGACTTTCTGATAGTTGTGGACGATGCTCTTTGACAACTGGGTCTTTTCACTGCTGACATGGGTGAAAACTGGGTGCATTCATGCACAGTTCTCAATGTTCTTCAAGCGAAACTGAGCGTTGAGTTGCGGGCAACTTCCTGGTTCCAAAGCAACCCACAAGTGGGTTGGAAGAAATTTTCTTGTCCTTAATGTGATACGTTAGTTTGGAAGAGGGACAAAGGGAAAGGGCGCGGCGGGCATGCTTTTTGTTTTTTTGGAGTCCATACATAACAAATAATACAAATGCTACTACAATACTTTTGCTGTGAAGAAGGATTCCTTGTGGTGGACACGCTTGGAAGTTCACGTGATGTCACCAAAACATCGTCAAGGATGCCGAGTTGCATGGGAATCTTGAGTACGTCCTGGGATTTATATTCATCTCTAAATCATTTTCTTAAAGTTCCCTTCAAGCCCATCCTGCATGCGTTTTCCAAAGTGATCATCAGGACATTTGGTTCCCAAACTCCCCTTCCTGTCAGGCTTTTCCTTTCGTTTTGACGTTCACGTCCTAGGTTCATGGGATGCATGCACGGATTGCTTGCAACGACCAGACTCAGCGCGGAGTTTACAGCTCCTCCCTGATTGCCCCATCTGTGGAGACCCCATGGAGTCACTCGGGCAGATGGGACGAGTTGTTGTGTGGTGTGTTACTTTGCATTGTTGACATTTGCCAGGTTTTGTTTTTTTTAATTGTTGGGAAGGTCTTGAGCAGATCCAAGAAAAGACGGACAGCTTCAAAACCCTCTATGACCGGAGCCTATGCCAACGCTGAAGGGTTTGGCTTGCACAAACCCAAATATAGCCAGCAAAGGTGCTCGAACCTCGCACCTGTTTATAAGACTCTATCAGCTCCTTCCTTGAGCGACTGACATGAAAAGGAGGTGTAAAATACACAGGTCACAGACCTTTGACCCGTTGTGTATGTGGAAGCAAGGTCAGGTGCTATCCAAGCTGCTCACATCAGGAGCGAGGCGAACCCTTCGTGAACGCCTGGAAGCCAGACGAAATAGCCGACGTGTAACATCCTCCCTGAGGTGGAGTGACTATCGAGGGGGCCACTACACAAACGGCTGGGCTTGCAACAACAAGTGCGGCTCTAGGTCAGGGACGACGCGGGGTGGAGGGATGCCGGAGCTGATCTTCCATGGTCATAGTCTTTCAATGTTTTTCAAAGGAGTTTCTTGATCGGAGCATAGGGATGTGGGATGTGAGCTGAGGTGGGTCAATGTGGGTCAAAGTCAACAAGAAATACTGATAGTACTGATATCATATGATGTCATTGGGAATTGGGTGAAGAGCCCCGGGTAGACTTGGTGGACTATTCGCTTCATTGTGACCGGCGAGCATGTTGAGAGATGCATCGATCTTATGCCAGAAAAGCAATGAAAAGCATACGTATTTTTTGAAGAAACCAGCGAAGAAACCATGATCTCCAGCCCTTCCATGTCAGGCGATTAAACTCCGGTTTGTGGAGATGGTTCTGCCTGAAATGCGGTGCGGATGTATGTGACCAATGTCACCGTCACAAGGCGGGGCCTTGGAGATGTCATCCGTCGAAACACGAATGCCAGGCGATTTTCCGGTCTGATCTGGATCATCATGACCAAAGACATCTAAAGACATCTAAAGGCAATGAGATGCAATGAGATGGCGCAAAAAATTGCTGAAGTGTGAGACTGACCGTCGGATGATTTGCGGAGGCCTGAAGAAGTTTGCACAGAAGCTCGCTCATGTCGGCCGAACACCCTTGACAGGTGCATCGAGAGAGAGAAGGCGGTTTGCGAGAGAGCCCCCGAAGCTTGGAGATTGGTGCCTTGCCTGATGTGAGTTGTGAGTGGTGTTGAGATGTGTTGAGAGTGGTGATGAAGAGGCTTCCCCAGAAAGCCCACGAGGGTTTCAGGGTGGGCCGTAGGATGTCGTAGCTTTTGTCAATTTTTGTCCATATTCAATCCCGTCAAGGTTTGCAACTCTTTGACTGACCCGATCGGGGAATCAGCTGGGGCATGTTTACATTCTTTGCATTCGGCCCAAGCTACTCTGAGTAGGGCAGACTGCAGCTCTGCCATTGTCCCATCCTAGCGACTCCGTGTGAAAGCCATGTCAAAGCCTTGGATTTTCGCTCTACTGATGGGAAGCTTTGCGCTTCTGGCCATCCTTGCGCTTTCCTTGGAGGTACCCACCTGAGCTTTTCGTTGGTTTGGAACGGTCACACCACCTGCAGCCTCAGCAAGTAGACACGGACTGTGATCCCTCTGAACTGGGACCTCAACCACCACCCTATATAGAATACACATGAATACACTGTAGCAGCCTTAGCCTCATCATTGTAGGAGCTCACCAATATGTTCCAGCTGAGCTTCAGAACTATTCTTCTTGCTGCATGGGTGCTCGACAACAGTCATTCATACAAAGCCCCTTGCTGTCACGGGACTCTCTCACTGAACACAAAGTGCAATCGGCTTCAATGTGAAGCTTCGAACACGAGAAATGAAGGCGTGGATATGACGATGACAGATTCCACGTGCGAAAAAACAAAGTACCAGTACCAGTGATAGATAAAATGGAAGGAAGACCTGTCCCAACACATCATTCCCACCACAGGAAAGACTCTCAGAAGCAAACAAACCATCCAAATCCTGACATGGTGTGTCTTCGAACAGGAGACCCTCCGCTTGGAGTGCAAAAGTAGGGGATGATGAGATGATGGGGATGATGATGACGACGACGACGACGAGGATGATGATGATGATGATGATGACGACGAGGATGAGGTTGAGGATGATGAGGATGAGGATGATGATGATGATGACGACGAGGATGAGGATGAGGGTGATGATGAGGAGGATGATGACGACGACAATGATGATGATGATGATGACGACAACGACGAGGTTGAGGTTGAGGTTGAGGTTGAGGATGAGGATGAGGATGAGGATGATGATGATGACGATGATGACGATGACGATGACGATGATGATGATGCTGGCGATGATGACGACGAGGATGAGGATGGATGAGGATGAGGATGAGGATGAGGATGATGACGATGACGATGACGATGACGATGACGACGATGATGATGATGATGATGATGATGATGACGAGGATGAGGTGGAGGATGATGATGATGAGGATGATGATGATGATGATGATTAGGATGACGGTGACGATGACGATGACGATGGCCATGACGACGCTGATGATGATGATGACGACGAGGATGAGGTTGAGGATGAGGATGGTGATGATGATGATGACGATGATGACGATGACGATGACGATGATGATGATGCTGGCGATGATGACGACGAGGATGAGGATGGATGAGGATGAGGACGAGGACGAGGACGAGGACGAGGACGATGACGATGATGATGATGATGATGATGATGATGATGACGAGGATGAGGTGGATGATGATGATGATGATGATGATGATGATGATGATGATGATGATGATGATGATGATGACAACGAGAATGAGGTTGAGGATGATGAGGATGAGGATGATGATGATGACGACGAGGATGAGGATGAGGATGAGGAGGATGATGACGATGATGATGATGACGACGACGATGACGATGATGATGATGAACATGACGGCGAGGATGAGGTTGAGGATGATGACGATGATGATAATGATGATGATGCTGATGACGATGACGATGATGATGATGATGACGACGAGAATGGATGATGAGGATGATGATGATGACGACGATGACGATGATGACAATGATGACGACGAGGATGAGGTTGAGGTTGAGGATGAGCATGAGGATGAGGATGAGGATGATGACGATGACGATGAGGATGAGGATGATGACGATGACGATGACGACGAGGATGGGGTTGAGGATGAGGATGAGGATGATGACGATGAGGATGAGGATGATGACGATGACGATGACGACGAGGATGAGGTTGAGGTTGAGGATGAGGATGAGGATGAGTTTGATGACGATGACGATGACGACGATGATGATGATGATGACGACGAGGATGAGGTTGAGGTTGAGTTTGAGGTTGAGGATGAGGGTGAGGATGAGGATCAAGATGATCATGATGATGATGTGAATGATGATGATGATGATGATGATGATGATGATGATGATGATGATGATGATGATGATGGGATGATGGGATGATGGGATGATGGGATGATGGGATGATGATGACGACGATGATGACGATGATGATGATGATGACGACGATGACGATGATGACAATGATGACGACGAGGATGAGGTTGAGGTTGAAGTTGAGGTTGAGGTTGAGGATGAGGATGAGGATGATGATGATGATGATGATGATGATGATGATGATGGGATGGTCGGGATCTCTTCTCCCTCTTGTGACACCCAATGGCTGTTCCTTGCCGAGGCCAGCAGCGAGCCACCGATTCGGCATCCAGGGCGAGTTCTGTCGGAGGTTTGTTCGATCACTGCAGAGTCCTGCAGCCAGACGCAGTGTTGCCAGCAGCGCTTCGACAAGTGCTTTGAGAGGACCATGTAATAGAGTCCGCTGATTGGCTGAAATAAAGTATTGACAAATACAAACAAATAGTAACTATATGATTGACAAGAAAGATGACTGAGGTTCAAATATGTGACGCTTGAAAACGGTGGTACTATAGAATAGAGCATGGAACAAGAGTTGGACATGTTGCCCTAGCTCATTTCAGCCTACGCCTGGTCGAACCTTGTGGGGTGAAGAGGGAATGATCACGGCAGGAGCCCTGGTCATCACGTTTGCAGCGCGAGCTGTAGCTTGGCTGCAGTCAAGGCCCACTTGGGATCACGGACGTCTTCGCAAGTCACCGACGGAGTGACACGTGTCCTGCTGTGATGGTGTCTTGCTGCTCAGAAGCATCTTTGATTTGAGTGAGTCCCATCCCCACTGAGAATTTAAGCATCAAACATATTGGATGTTCACTTGAGGTGAAAAGAGCCGACAAGAGGGTATACGTACATTATACTTATTCACAAAACACAACTGTGGTCTTTTCAGCCCATTTTTGATCATATTTGCCCATGGCAGAAGAGGTGACATAAACAATCCAGATGTTCAACTGTTCTTGCTTTTAATTTTAGTTCTCAAAGGCTGTGATGAACTTTGAACATCCAAGAGCAATCCGGACTTCCTTTGCATCACGGAAACCTTTCCTTCCTAAACCGAACTGTATGGCATGGTACGCTGGGCTGGGCGTCGAAGCGCCAGTGCAACAGCACTGGACATGTTTGTGATTGATTTGCTTGCGGTGCAGCGGGAAATATGCAGGATTGATGTGGTCAGGATGACAGGAGACTGCTGTGCCGTTGAACAACAAGCAAATCCCACCGCCTGCCCACTGTCGGAAAAGGGAACCCAAGTGCCGATTGAACACGCAGCAGGCTTGGTTGCCACATGGCCTCATTCCAACAGCCTTGTGGAGCAATTTTGTGCTGTTTTGGGGGTTGACAGTGTAGGAGCGGGCATAGAATGGGTTGAGGGAAGATTTCCACTTGAGCAACCTAAAGGTTCAGTGAAACGCGCGGCCCACCGCCCAGGTTCACCCGACGAGTGGAGCTGCAAGGCGAGGTGTGGACAGGGCGGTGGGAGCCAGTGAAGAAGTGCACATCAAATATGCCAGCAATCAACGAGCTGTTGAGCTCTCAAGCTCCAAAAGGAATCGGACAGGGAATTTGTAACATCGAGCTGTTGTTAAGAGCTTGCATTGCTTTCTTCTGCCTGCGATTTTTGCAGGTGCCCTTTGCACACCCTTTGGCCGTGGCGCGGCAGACCGAGCAATGGCCTGACGTGGTGGCTGTGTGTGGTTCGGGCATTGCGCTGGTGGACCCTCAGGCATTTACACAGACCCTTAGCAGCCTTGGCGGGTCGCTCGGGCGAGTCGGCGAACAGGCCAACAACTCGGGGACAGTGCGAACAGAGCTCCTGTGTTTGGGTTTACAAGGCTAATTTGAAGATTGCATAAGAAAGATATGACTTCCAAGTAGCTCTCAAGACTAGCTCTCGGACTGGTGCAATCAAGAATAAAGAACAGTAACGATTTGGAACAGATGTCGAGTGTATTGGCCATACTGGTCGTTGGTGCATGATGAAGACTGTGTGGAAGGCCAGAACCATCATTCTGACATATTTAAATTGATTTTAAAGCTGAAAAAGACCTAGCGGCAACAGCGATTCTGACCTTTTTCCCTTGCAAGCACCCCAGATTGCAGTTGGGTTTGTCCAACAGGGTGAAGCCTTCTGAACGTTTCAGGAAGTACAACAACAAGTGTGAGGACTTTTGCAAAGCAGCCGGAGAGGTGATTAATGAGTCCCTTGGATAAAGATGGTGATAGTTCTGAATTTTGTGCCCGAGCATTTGGTCAAAGAGTGTTTAGCACTTGGGCCGGAGTTCCTTTTTAGTTTCTTTGTGAGGTCCACAGTTCAATTCCTGTAAACATCTTTTGACTTTGGCATCTGTGCCGCAGGCCCACGATGTTTGCCGTCACAGGGCTCGGATATGGAGAGATTGGGAACTGTCGAGGAGATAAGGCAGACAGCTACAAAGGAGCTGTTTGCGAATGCAGTATGCAAGATCGGCTCTAAGCTCGAGGTGGCCCAGCTGAGTATGTGTGCACTACACTCGGCTGGTCCAGCCTCTCATGTACAGCGCGCGTTTCGGCATTGCCAATGCACCCGGGGTGAGACGTGTGTGGCCAGAAGTGCCAACTCGCCCGGATTTGCTCTAAAGAGGGTGGGTGTGAAGCACAGTGCTTGATTCATCCGTGGAAACCGCCGCAGAATCTGGTCACCCTCGAGTCCTAGTACAATTTAGAAGATAAACATGGTGCTGTTGTAAGTTGGGAAAGTCTAAGCGCTGGGACCAGCAGACTTGCCATGGGGGCATGTGCCTTCATGTGTCTGGCGGCACGCAAACCACCAGTGGAGCTTCAATTCTTCTGATACAAATTGTATCAAACTATCGGAGACGAATGTCGGAACTGCCACCCTCACCCCGCTCCAGTTTGATGAAGTTGGCGTTGACTTCGTGTGTCTCTGAGCCACCTCACCTGGTTTCGTAGGAATGGGAGGATAGGATAAGCATCGTCCATGCCACCCACCCTTCCAATGAACTGGATGCTTGAAATCAGGGTTGTATGGCATCCCATGATCCGTCTCAGAAAAGTCCAGCAGTACGTATGTTTAAAGTCCCATGTGCGTTTGTTCTATTTATTCTAAATTTGGGCGTGGTAAGATGCACAAGTTGATGTTCTGTTTTGAGCAAAGCTTGTGGTGTCCCAAGTTCGTCGGCCAGCGAGCAGTGCCCAGAAGCCACGCCCCATGGCACAACAGATCCCAGAAAGCCGCTCCAGCCCTTCTCTCCTGTAAAGGCTTTGAATAGGATCCGTCGTTTTCGGGTCCTGTGTTTGTATTCCTTCTTGAGGTGTTCAATTTCTCGAGCTTTGTAAAGACCATCAGTGGGAGAAGGTGAAGAAGATCCTGTCTGAGCGGCCGAACCTGGTGAACTGCGACGCTAGGCCCGCTAGGCTGTTTGGAGTTACTTAATGTTTCTTTTTCCTGCTGACAAGATCGCCTCAGCGCCGTTTTGGAGCTAAGGGCCCAGATCAAAGCATAGTCACGGTCAATTTATGTCAAAGTCATTTCGATAAAGGAAACAATTTGCAGATTTGACGTGAGGTTGTAGATGATGCATCGTAGTGAGCGAGCTCCCACTAGCGATTGTTGGGCAGTCAGCCTCCCAAAGACTGAGGAAGTTGAAGGACGCTGGTCGGCTCTCCACTATGCAGCGAGATGCTCGACAGAGCTGAGCGCGGGTTTCTCCAAGTTCATAGGGTTCAACTCCTGCAAGTTGGACAAGGTGACAAGCTCCTTAGGCTTGAAGCAACAATCAGACCAACAGTTGTTCTCGATTGTTGGGTAACGTTGAATGCCCTTCTGCTACAGGAACGCTATGGGCTTTGGACAGTTCAATTCCTGGTTATGATTTGGACAACAGGGGTCAGCTCAACAGGGGTTAGCTTCTTCATATACACATATATTATGATACCGTACACATTATACAATGATACACAGTAGAATACTGTAGATCAGTGCATTTTCCACACTGGGTCTTCTCGTTTTTGGGCAAGGAGCTGGTCATCCACAGATGGTGCAGTTCCTGCTGGACCTCAGCGCTGACGCTACCAGCTTTGCCGGTGATGGCAAGACTCCCTTGGAGGTTGGTATGTCCCGGTGCAACGGCAGAGTTGCCAAAGATTTTTAGTTTTTAGTTTATTCATTTATTGACCCTTGACATGACATCAGGTTATAAACTAACGGTCTGAGAGTTGAAGCAGACCAAAGCCACGGACTTTCTTTTGAGGGCCAGGTCAGATTCAGCAAAAACATATGTTGCAGTTGTTCCTACTTTGTGGCTGGCGACACTTGTTTCCTAGTCCTAGCCTGGTACTGTGTCAACTAGTTTCTGAGGCCTGGGAAAAGGAACCTGTTTGGCTTTGCGGCAGGTGGCCAAGGAGCACGACATTCGAAGTCTGCTGCCACGTGGACTGAAGAGCCAACTCGATGTTTTGTTGCGCCGCTGCAAATTTTAGTGTACTTACTGTATCTGGTGTGGTAGCTTTCGCAAGGCGACAGGCCCAGTGCACCTGTCCTCGTCGTTTTTTTTGTTGGCCTGCAGAATCGAGAAGTCTTGATTCAATGCGACTCTTCCGCCCAGGATGCGTTCCTCCTTTCTGCAGCCGGCCATGACCATCTTCGAGCACTACGTGCCCTAGCTGCGCACAGAAACGATCTGAGGTGTTCAACGATCCATGATTCATCCTGTCTTCGGCAGGAACAGTCGAGTTTGAGCTTTTTGATCTTTCTGTTATCCCGCTCCTTTCCTTTTTGGCTGTTAGTGTTGACAAAAAAGAAGCTGACTGCCTCACTGTATCCGTTCCGAGGATGCTGAAGGGACTGGCGCCATTGATGGGATGGAGCTGGGCTGGGTTTCGTGACTGCAGGGATGTGATTGGATTTGAGTGCAAGTGGAGAATCTCCTGAGGATAGAAAATGATAGACACCACCGTAGGGGCAGAGAACCTCCCTGTTTGAGGGCTGTGAACCTTCATGTTTAACAAGTTCTCCACATGTAGGCCTTAGGCCGCAGGCAGTAGTTTCTTTTGTCATTGGTTGACACCGAAGCATGCCATCCCATTGGACCGGGCACTGCATGGCTGAGGTGATCAAATCGGTGCAGCCGGAGCTCTCGGATGCCGAGGTGCAGGAGATGTTCGCAAGTCCCTTGGAGACGGCGATGATGTGGAAATTGGATTGCATGCAGAGGATAGCAGGATAGGTGTTTGATGGTGCTTGGATGTGTTTGCGGTTTATTGGATTTTGAACAGGGGAATAAGGACAATGGATGATTTACTCGAAGACTACGGAGATCCATGAATCGGGGAAAGACAAAAAATCGGGGCCACTACAAGTTTTGCCAGACTCTGTTTCACAGCACTATTGGAGCCTGTTTTTGGCTTCATCGCGTGAGCTTTTTGAGCCTTCTATTCCTCGAGGCTGTGACACCAATCACAACGGTGAGATTGACTTCATCGAGTTTGTGATGTGGTTGCCTCTTGGTCGTTTGCACACGACTGACTACTCATTCCGAGCGGAGTTTGCTGGCGAGTGGGGGGCCATGGGATCATGACACTTGTTGAGAGATGTTGAGAGTAAGAGTGAAGGGATTCCTGAAATCATCCACATGTCCAATGCGAAAGAGATCACAAGTCACAAGAGAGATTGGTTTACAATCAGCAAGGCCAAGTCTTTCTTGGAACACTCGTGTGCCTGACAAACCGACAAACCTTTATTTTTCAGCTGACATCCCATTCCTGGAAATTGGCCTCCAAGAGGTTGCGGCGGTTTCCCAAGGTCCCAGGGCTGTGTTTCGCCGAATCGGCCGCATTTAGGACTTAATGCCGAAGCCTTCACACTTACCACGCTTGCCATGTGGATCACGAGGTTTGCTGGGCGTGGCAAGACCTTTGCACAGGCGGGGCAGTGATTGACTCCAACTTTGCACGCTGCACACGCTCTGATGGTAGTGCATGTAGCTGCAAAGTGATGGCTGAACTGTCATGGAGTCGGTCCATCGGTCGGCCGTCCAGGACATTTTGGCCAGTGCGAAGAACTTGAGCAGTAGCAGTGGGGTGATCTGGTCCGCAAGTGAGGGTTGATCTCGCCGCAAGAGATCGCTCGCATGAGATCGCTCCGCAAGAGATCGCTCCAACAGCCCAAGAAAGACAGAAACGAGTAGTCAACCAATGGGTCTTGGAGTCTCAGAGTCACCCTTGAATCCTCACAGGTTGGAAAGCGTGCTATGCAGCTGAAAGCAGTGTTGGCTGCCCGCGCTGGCCTGGATCCATCTGTATATACGCAGCCTGGACAAAGCTAGTTGGAATGGGCAAATCCACATCACCTAGTCACCTAGCCGCTAGCCGCTTGCTTTCGTGCCCTCAAAGCTGACAAACTGACAACGCAATTCGGTCTTCAGTTTTGGATTGCTTCCTCTTCGGTGTTGCCGTTCGGAGCTGCCCTTCCTCTCAGGAATCCGGACTTCGCCTCCATGCCGAAGATGGCCCACCATCCACCGCGGGACCCGCATCTCATACTTCGATACCCATGGTCATCCGTCAATCCAGCCAGCTTAGATGGTCAATGTTTGTACAACGTTTGTACAACGGCTTGGCATATTTGGGCGGGTTTTTTTCACATGGTGCTTTACAAAAGAGACAAGACCTAGATTGTGCATATTGCACCGGGATGTGTAACAAGGCTCTAAGGGACTTCTCCATGAAGCTGTATATAGACTTGCCAAGGATTCGATTTTAGGATGTTTTAGGATTTTAGGCTTCAATGGTTGGAGGCCATCGCCAGTAGTTTTGGGTTCAGGACGAAAGTTGCTGAGCTGCGTTGAGTACGTGGAACTGATCCTCGGTTGGATTCCAGGCATCGGGTCTTTGACAACAAGTGTACCGTATACACATTGAGGTGGGGTCAAAAAAAAGTGTAGACTAAGAACATCCTTAGCATAATAAATACTGTAATTGATTTTGACCGTGGCTCATATGTATACACCATTATACACCGTTGATTTCCGGCGAAGGATTCCATGGGACCTCAGGGACGGCTCTCAGACCTGGCATTTGCCCTTCGAACACAGCACCACCGGCTGCTTCAAACACGTGCACTGATGTGCAGGCCTTGCTTTGGTGGATGAGACCATGAAGGAGGCCCTTCTCCAAGGAGGATGAACCCATCATTTGTTGCATGTGACAGCTTCGCACACAATTGAACAGTGGCAATCAAAAGATGCTACAGGTGCACTACCTCCATATCCTCGAACGACTTGAACTTCCCCAAAAAATAGTTAGCGCACAGACTGTGCAGCAAATGGGGCTCTTCCAGCGCCCCCCTTCGGGTTTTTAAGCACCAGCTTGCAGGTCCAGCGGATTGCTGATCAGAGGAATGAGTCCTCACAAGGCATCGAGATGCAGCATCCGGAGCGACTCAGATGCATGCAGTTGGCGGTGTTTGTGGGTCTCGGGTGCTTTCTAGTGATATGATATTTGATACTATATATATATATGATACATTGTAACATATATTATTGTATTATATAGATATTATATATATATATTACAGTATATTATAGTATATTATATGTAGTAGCCTCTTCGTCATCTTCAACCTTCTGTGGTCCTTTCACGTCATCACGTTGGGAGAAGATACAAAGTGGAATGATGGGGTCGAAGACCGACTTTGCACCTGCAAAGAGACTTGATTGGAGATACCATGAGATACCTATTATTTTTTTGGATTTGATAGTATTACAAAAGTTTCAACAGACGTGCCAGGCGCTTGTAGACATTTTGTAGACTGGGGTTCTATTGCAATGATCGAAGGGCAGCCATGGCGACAAAGCTCCATGGCCAGCTTGTGGTGTCCAACAATCAACCAGGGATCATCGGGGTTTAGGGTTAGTGCAAGGTTAGTTGTGTTGGGTACAAAGAAACGCCAAGGATTCACTGAGTTCCCCCACAAACTTTCAGAAGGCGCTCAATCCATCTCAATTCCGCGTAAATTCCAATGTGTGAGTTTTCGGCACGAAACCTTCGAGACGATCGATCGATGCTGATGTGTTTTCACTTGTGGTTGTGCGCTCAAGCAAGGGCGGGCGCGCGCATAGCTAGAGCCAATTCGGATACGCCTTCGGAAAATCATGTGCGCTTGAGAGGTGCATTTCGGTTCCTGAACTTCGTGTGTCAAGGGATCATTTGTTGTTGGTGGCGCGGAGCCTTTTGTGCATTGGTTGGTTGCACATTGTACATTGAGCAACATTGTCATTGCTTGCGATTTGATCGTTGGTTGAGTTGATTGCATTGACATTGGTTGCTGTCGGTCGTACATTGTGCATTGATGGCCACAGGGACTGCAGCGCAAGGCAGTGGGTCGGCTTCGACTGCTTATGTTGGAAAAGCTCACGAGAATGTTCCTGAGTTTTCTGGCAAGTCGAGCGACTACAAGGAGTACAGGAAGAGGTTGCTCCTGTACGAGAAGAAGATGAGTTTGGCCGGCAGGTCCTCAGAGACCAGTTTCAATGTGCTGGTGACATTGAAGGGTCGTGCATGGGATGCATGTGAGGACATCTCCATGTCAGATCTTGAAGGGTCCACCGCCATGCAGAAGATTTTGGAACGGTTGGATAAGGTCTTCAAGTTCGACGCGATCACGGAGCTTCCTGGAGATTTTGAAGCATTTTTCTGCACGTTGCATAGAAAGAAGAACTCGACGTTGCAAGAATATGCTGGTGACTTTGAACGAGCATTGAGGAAATTGGAAGCCCACAATGTCACATTGCCAGATAAGGTTGTTGGCTGGTATTTTATGAGGAGAGCTGGACTGACCCAACAGCAGAGACAGTTGATCATGAGTGCATTGGGCACTGAGACATTGTCGCTGGACACGGTTCGCAAGGCTATGAACTTTGTCATTGGGCAGGACAGTACACCTGAAGGTCATTCGACCTATTCCACCAAGGCCTCAAGTCGTTGGCGTGCGCCATACAAAGAAGCTGTTTACTATGGTGAAGAAGACGAAAGCTTTGATTTTGAGTATGGTGAAGATGCTGACGAGGACCCAGATTGCTTTTGGGCCGATGATGGTGGTGATGACGGAGAAGAAGAAGATGGCGATGATGAGATTCATGCAGTGAATGATGACCTTGCTGCAGAATACGATGAAGTCCTAGCTGGATATACCGAAGCCCGACAACGACTGAATCAGATGAGGATGAGCAGAGGATACTACCCGGTCGTTGCAATGATTCCAGAACAAGCTTCATCCAGTGGCAAGGGCAGTTTTTCATCGCCCAAAGGCAAGAGCAAGAGCAAAGGCAAGGGCAAGAGTCATGCTGGAAAAGGTGGAAAGCAGAATCCACGACCTCCACCTCAGCCAAAAGCCCGTGGCCGTGCAGCTCTTGGTGCAGAACGTTGCTTGCGTTGTGGTCAGGCTGGACATCGAGCCAAAGCGTGTCCCGTTGCTGGCAAGAGAAAAGCGGAGACAGATGCTGACATCAACATGGTTGCTCCATTCGAGTCCGATGAGCCAGATTCCATTCAGCTGGCAGTTGAGGAGAATGGCATTGTGTCCCATGACATCGCCATGATGGACTGTGGAGCAGGTTCAGTGTTGACCTCAGAGGGAAGACTTCGAAAGTACCTCGAGATGTTGATGGCAGCAGGGTTCAATTTGAGCCAGATACAAGTCTTCCGTTGCAAGAAAGGCTTCAGGTTTGGCAATGGAGAGAAGAATATCACTTCTGTTTGCTTGCTTGTTCCCACGTTCATGGAGGGCCGCCGCCGTGACATTTTGATGTATGTCATTCCAGGTGATGCACCATTCTTGTTTGGACGCCCAATCATGGAGGCATTGGACATCACCATTTCCTATTCGGCAGGCAAGATCAAGTGGGGCCGCAAGGCATGGAAGAAGTGTGCTCGTGGCACTCGAGGCGAATTCATTTGCCACATGGCCTCAGATGTGTCAAGGTTGCTTGAGACGAAGCCTTCCAGCATCCTGCTCCCAGATGACTTTGAGCAACATGTTCACCCAGAGCCACTGTCCACCCAGATTTTCTTTGATGGTCAGGTGCAGTCGATGCTCAACGTGAGCGAGGACTCGGTGAACAGTGTCATTGATGAGCAGGAGAATTCAAGTTTCACATCAGTGACTACCATTTTGGAGTCACAACATTCAAGTTTCACATCAGTGACTACCACTTTGGAGTCACAACAGAGTCCATCGGCTTGTGAGAAGAGTGGACCACCTCCTGAAGACGCAGGGGCACAGCTGATGACGAGCCTTCAATGCAGTGAGATCACGATGGATCTCGAGTCAGATGATGACGTTGTGGTGACAGAAGAGTTGAGTTGCGATCCAAGGGCAAAACCAGATGAACATGAAGCTGCTTGCTCTCCATCCTCCACGCCAGAAGACCGTGAAGTCTTCCAGAAGCTGCCATCCGGCAAGCTTCGACAGCTCATGCATGACACCGAGCGGAGGATCAAAGAGTTTGAAGATGTTCTCAAAGCCTCTCCACTACGGGACTATGACCGCAAGTATGTCCTGTGGGAAGTGTTTGCTGGAGAAGGTCGTGTGAGCAAGACAGCTGCAAGGCGACAGAACATGCAGAGTGAACGTTTCTCATTGAGTGATGGTTGGGATTTTGCTCAGGCCTCCCACAGAATGGCATTTCTTCGTCGTTTGAAGTCTGAGGAGCCAGATTGTGTGTTGATCTCCCCTATGTGCAAGCTATGGAGCAGTCTGCAAGAGCTCACGTGTGCAGCTCATGAAGGCTATGCTGAAACCCTGGACATTGCACGACAGTGGGACCACGACAACATCCTCATGTTTTGTTCAGTGATTTTTGAGCATCAGAGGAGGAAAGGCAAGCTGGCGTTGTGTGAACATCCCAAACGTTCACGTGCTTGGGCGACTCCAGCATTCCAAGCGATGAATGGGCATGATGCTCATGTGGATCAGTGCATGTTTGGTCTGCGCCTTCTCAATGATCACAATGAGATGCTGCCAGTTCAGAAGCCCACGACATTTCGAACCACCAGAGCATCCTTGTCAGAGAGGATCAGCAAGCATTGTGATGGAACACACTCACACACTCACTTGGAAGGCAGTATTCCTGGTGTTGGTTTGCGTTCCTGGCTTGCAGAGAGTTATCCTCAGGCATTGGCCAGTCACCTCGTGAATGCTATCATTGCTGAGCTTGAATCTGATGACATCTTTGCTGTCGAGGATATGCCATCAGCTCAACAAGAGATTGCGGACTACATGGCTGGTCGCCATCAAGGAGCTGAACGTTTTGTCAGTGAGCCTCAGGCAGCAGATCCCAAAGATGACAAGAGAGCAGTAGCACTCGAGTCTGAAGAGTTGATAGCTTGGATCCAGTGCGAAAGAACAGAATCCTACGATCCCAGGTTGGACCTCGTGCTGTTGAGTATGTGCAACGGTTGCACAAGAACCTTGGCCATCCAGGTTGGGAAGTTCTTCATCGCATGCTGAAGGAGATTCAAGCAACAGATAATGTTCTTCAGGCTGCAAAGTTTTACACATGTCCGTTGTGCTATGCTCGCAAGCCTCCAAAGGCCAATCCACCTGCAAGTGGGCTGAAGTGTACTGAGTTCAATGAAAGGATCCTCGTTGATAGTCACTGGATTGCATGTGAAGACAGCATGGTGAAAGAACGAGTTCCTGCACCAGGTACACCAGCAGCTCGTCGCAGAGAGAAGGACAAGAAGGAGAAAAGGCCAACAGGTCGACAGTGCGTGTTGACAATCATCGACCATGCCACCAGATATTGTGCAGTTCGGATCCTACAATCTGAGCGCGCTGATGAGTTCACAAAAGGTCTTGAGCGTGCTTGGGTGAAGCATTTTGGAGTTCCGAAGATTCTGCGCATTGACGAGGCAAAAGGTTGGTCGAGTCAGCATGTCAGAGAATGGGCCACACAGCGTGGTGTGACGCTGGAAGTGCAACCTGCTGAGAATCATAGCTGGCTTGGTGTTGTTGAGAGGAAGCATCAAGTTGTCCGACGAGCGTTGGAATTGTTTATGGATCAGTGCGACAGTCATGATCTCAAGTCGTTGAAGAAGGCCGCACTGTATGTTCCTCATTCAATCAACCAGCTCAGCTTTCATCGTGGGTTCACTCCTCAGCAGTGGGTTCTTGGCAAATCCATGACCTATGTTCACGGTCTCAGTGGAGAGTTTTTCAATCCTGCACAAGAGGCCATTGATGAACAGGGCAATTTCGCTCAGATCCAGGCCAGACGGACAGAAGCTGCAAAAGCTTTCATTGCAGCAGATTCAGATGCCAAGTTGCGCCGAGCCTTCACTCAGAAGTTTGCTGAAATGCAAGAGGAGCTTGTGATTGGTCAAAAGGTTTGGTATTGGCGCAAGCATCAACGAAGGCTGCAAAAGTCCGGTTGGCGTGGTCCTGCAAGGATTGTTGCAATAGAAGAGCAGCCAAGTGTCAATGTGTATTGGCTTTGTCATGGCACATCGTTGTTACGTTGTGGTGCACGACAGGTGAGGCCAATGGTTGAAGACACTGGAATGCCGGTTGCATGTGATCGGCAAGCAGCCCTTCGTGACTTGCAAGAGTTGAAAGCCAGGAGCGCCACACAGTTCAAGGATGAACTTCGACGCAGTGGCCAGATCGACGAAGCGGATGAGCTTGACGGAGATGATGTTGAGCTTGATGCAGAGTATACACCTTCATTGCCAGGAAGTGTTGATGAAGCAGAAGACCCTCGTTCAGATGATGATGCATCAACTGGCAATGCAAAAGAGACAGAAGAGCCCAATGTTCCTGGAGTGATTAGTGTTTTCCTTCCAAGGTTGCAGGCAGAAGATCGAGAGAGAACACCCCGACGTCGTGAGTCGGTGACTACTGCAGCCCCAACAGAGATGGAAGATGATACAGCACATGCTCCAGCTCCATCGAGTCCAAAGAGGAAGTCAGAAAATGTTGCTTCTGAAGAGCCACCGGGAAAAGCCATCAGGGCATCCAGTTCAGTGCCTGAGTTTCCTGGCGATCTTGGAGGAGGAAGCATCCCCGTGCCGGACGATGATGATCTGGTGATAGAAGATGTTTTTCTGACACAGCTTCCTGAAGATGTTCCATCAGGATGGCGAATTGTTGATGGTGAACTTGAGATGGACGATGTCTTGATGGCCGCAATTCGCAAAGGTGAGGTCAATGAACGGAAGCTGGATCCTCAGGGCCGAGCTCAGTTTGTTGAGGGCAAACGCAAAGAGCTTGATCAATATTTTAGCAATGCAGTATGGCAGTTTGCAACGACAAGTGAGATTGAAAGTGCCATCAGAACAAAACGTGTGATTTCTGCTCGCTGGGTTCTTACCTGGAAGAAGTTGGAGACAGAAGATGGCATCACCCGTTGGAAGGCCAAGGCCAGATTGGTTTTGCGAGGATTTCAAGATCCTGACATCTTGAACATGAAGACCGCAAGCCCAACTGCCGGTCGAACCAGTCGAACTATGTTGCTGACAGTAGCTGTTTGGATGGAATGGTCAGTGTTTTGTGCTGATGTTCAGGCGGCTTTCTTGTCTGGCAAAGGTTTTGACAGGGTGCTCATTGTCAGGCTGCCAATGGATTGTTTGCCGTTGGTCGATGGAGGACAGCAGAAAGTGTACAAGAAGCACTTGTACATGAAGATGAAGAAGAGTGCGTACGGCTTGTGCGACGCACCGCTGCTATGGTTCCAAGAAGCTGCTTCTAGGCTGACAAAGCGTGGTTGGTTGAGCCACCCACTAGATCAGTGCTGCTTCGTGTTGCCATCCAGCAAGGATCAGAGCTTGACAGGCATGTTGATTTTACATGTTGATGACATGTTGCTGGCTGGAAGCATGCAAGATGCTGAATTTGCACAGGCAGTTGAGTTCCTTCGCAAAGATTTCAATTTTGGCAAATGGGACGAGTTGTCAGAAGATCAGTCGTTGAAGTACTGCGGAGGAACAATCCTGAGGAATCAGCATGGCATTGAGGTCAGCTACGAAGAGTATATCAAGAAGCTCTGTCCGATGACCATCCATAAAGGTCGAAAAGATGAAGACAGTGTGACACCACAAGAGGTCAGTGCAGCTCGTGGCCTCATAGGAGCACTACAGTGGCCTGCAACCCAGGGCATGCCGATCTTGTGCGCTTCGATGAGCATTCAGGCCGGTGAAGTTCCAAAGGGCAAGGTGCTGCATCTTCGTGAGTTGAACAAGACATTGCGTTTTGCAAAGTCGAATGCAGCAGTTACATTGAAGTTTCTTGGTTGCCCAGCTGGTGAGAAGAAGCGTGGTCAGGCTAAAAGTCTGAGTGATTTGTGCCTGGTTTGCTATGCAGATGCTGCATTCAGCGTGAGGTCAGATCATACCTCGCAAGGAGGATTCATGATTTTGGCTTGTGAGAAAGGAGTCTTGCAGGGCCAGAAGCGGCCAGCATCCATTGTTGCTTGGAGGTCGTTCAAAGTCCCCAGAGTTTGCAGGAGCTCTTTAGCCGCTGAGTGTCAGGCATGCGCCACAGCCTTGGAGGAGCTCCTCATGGTCAAGACATTTACAGAATGTCTTCGAAGGCCTGGTGTCGCTTTGAAGGACATCAAGGACAGCCTTTCAGGTGAGTCAGCCATGGTGACAGATTGCAAAGCACTCTTTGACGCTGTGCATCGTGAAACGATTCAGCAAGCAGCAGACAAACGTGTTGCAATAGAGGGCTTGGTGATCAAAAGTTTGCTGGCAGATTTACATTGTCAGTGGCGTTGGGTTTCAAGTGAACGCCAATTGTCAGATGGCTTGACAAAGGTTGGAGCTCGACAGAACTTTGTTGAACGATACCGTGGTAGCCACATACAGTTGGTTGCTGATGAAGGATTCGTTGCTGCAAAGAAGAAGTCAAAGGAGGAGCGAGCAAAGACGATCCGTGAGACTCGCACCACACGTTCTGACATAGCGCAGAGTTTGATTGCGCTGATCATGGCAGATGAGGTGACGAAGGCCGCTGCATCCACTCATGATGACTGGAGTTTCGGTAGCTTTGAGGCCCTCATTGTGTCGAGCATTGTTGGAGCATTGACATTGTTGTGGTTCCTTGGTCGGCTCGTGTTTTCGTGTTGCCCCACCAGAGGTGAGACGCAGTCCAAGGCAGATGAAGAGATCGCCCGACTCAAGCTGGAACTCCATGAGCTTGAGGATGAAATGGAGCGAGAGCGTGAAAGCATCTTGAAGGATCTGGAGAGAGAAGAAAAGAAGAACCATGATTTGAGACAGGAAAACCTCCGGCTTCAAGGTGAGCTGATATTGGCGAATGAAGCAGTGCAGCTGTTGAGGACTGGTGCTGTTTCAGGACCTGCAGTCATGACAGCTCCAGGGCCGATCTACGTGACTCCCTCCGGTGAATGCTGGCATCGAACTCGCACATGTGGTGGGTCGAACAGTGTCTGCAAAAGACCATGCAACAGGTGCAATCCTGGCTAAGCTCCCACCGATGTGAGTTTTCGGCGCGAAACCTTCGAGACGATCGATCGATGCTGATGTGTTTTCACTTGTGGTTGTGCGCTCAAGCAAGGGCGGGCGCGCGCATAGCTAGAGCCAATTCGGATACGCCTTCGGAAAATCATGTGCGCTTGAGAGGTGCATTTCGGTTCCTGAACTTCGTGTGTCAAGGGATCATTTGTTGCAATGCAAAAGGGCTTTTCAGCGTGAAAGACTTTGGCGGGCAATCGGATCAAGTTCTCAGCAATTTCCATCACCAATCCTATCGCAGACACGAACGGCTGAAGTCGTGTCGACACGAGTCGTGTTCAGACACGAACGGATGAAGTGCCCTCCGAACGGATGAAGTTGCATGAAGTACCCTCCACCGTTCGGCTCCCCAGGATGGTTTGTGCCATCGTGATGTGGACCTTTGAGACTCGGTCACGCGTGCGTCGCACCGGTCACTGAGTCATGTCGCACGCGGCGCGACGCACGCGACGGAGTCCAAGGACGAGGGGCGGGGGATGACGGATCGACGTCAGGCATGTGTCGGGCGCTGAGGACCCCGTTCTCATCACGGGCGACCAGACATATCCCAAGGAGATGGGCTTCAGTGGGGAGTGGCCATGTTTGCTCATGGCAAACCAATGAAGCATTGCAGTGATGCCTATTGAAGGCAAACATGGGATTGGGAGGTGCAACGTTTGGATGAGGCAGTGCAATTGCTGGGTATTGACGCTCCCCCCCAACACCCATCAGGGTCCATTTGCGGAAAGTTGATGGATTTCATCAAATTTTCCATTTCTAGGCTCTTGCTGCAGCGGTCTTTCCAGAAAACAACTCGTCATCTCTTCCCCTACCACCAAAAGTTCAAGGAGCAAGACCTCAACACAACCCAGTTCAACGGTGAAAGACCTCCCGAAGAACTGGATCTACCAGGGAGTTCCACCATGGATTCCGCGGGTGTCCATTCATAGCCCCGAAAAGAGGTTAGTCGGGGCGGTCCATGAACCACCCCGACTCCTGCTGCATGTTTGCTGCAGTGATCCTGTTTGCACTCCGCAAGGAGCAAACCTTCCAACATTTGGTGAACAGGCTCGTGGACCAGCGCGACACAGAGTTCTTCTATGCCAGCAGAGGGTGCATTGGCTTTCCAAGATGTCTTTGGGAAGGACCTGGCAAATGACTTTCTTCAGTGTGGTTAACCATCGGCTCCTAAATCCTTTCTCACGCGATTCCTTTCTGGTCTCCGTTCAATACAAAGTTCGTTTGCCACATTTCCCTGTGGAGGTCTGCACACCAAGACTAGAATGCAAGATTGACGGCACGTTTTGCAGCTTCGCGCGACGATAGGACCTGGTGGTGTTGTCCCCACGAAGTTTGACCATGGTTAGACTATCCCAAAAACCATTAAAACGATCAGAACAGATTCAACTCTGCAGCTGTATTGTTCAAGCCTTTGCCTTTGGAGGTTTCCAGATTGATTTTTTTTCAGTTGCAGCTGGCACTGTCACCCCTGGTCTCTTTGCAGTGTAGATTTTGGAGCTGAGCATTGCTGAGGTTCTTCTACTACTTCATGACTGCTCTTGACAAGCTTCCTCCTGCTAGCGGTATGGTTTACCAAGGCGTGCATACATTAGGGAGGGAAGTAATTCCTTGGCACTCGGCAGGACTGTCCAAATGTTTGATGCTATTGCACTCGGCACAGACAACTTCAAGCGTGAGACCTGTGCCATTTTGTAGCATGAGAAGACCATGATGACATACGAGGACTATCAGTGGATCCTTTTGGCCAGGTATTCCCCGCAAGGACGTTACTGCAGCACGGGAGGCGAAATGTGTCAGTTGCACATTCAGCTGACGGTGACAATTGCTCAGGGTGTGTTTTGTCAGATGCTTGCACCTATTGCTCCATAGAAGTGGAGATGTCTCCCACCAGCGAAAATTATTCCCTGAGATTCTTCTTGTGGGACCCTACGGCCAGGCCTTGGTGGAAGGCACCACAGTGACGTGGCGCTCCTTCACTACAGCCTTGCAGCTGTGGGGGAACATGGTACACACCTGAGATTTCGCGAAACCTGAAACGAGAAGAACACCACAATCCCAACGGGAACAAGGCCTTTCCTTGCGAAACTGACGACACGGTCCCACGCGGCCAATCATAATCAGACCTCCATCCCCCGTTAACATCACTTGTCGCCTTTTGTGCTCCACCAGCTTGCATCATCTTGCATAATCTTGCATCTATTTGCTCCTCTACTCTCCCAACGAATACATCCTTTTCGTCTCCCTTTGGTACACTCCGAGCGTCCTCAGATCCCCTACGAGCGCGGCTTGGTCCTGCAGATCACCTTGCTGCCGCCGGAGCTGCGTGCCAAGGGCATGCGCTTCGAGTCGAAGGGCCGTCGCTTGGGATATGTTCAAGTGGCGGGATCATGCGGGATCCTGGATCCTATTACTAGCTGAGCTTCTTGTTACTACTAGTAAGGCACTTGTTACTAGTAGCGATGCACTTGTTACTAGTAGCGAACAATATACTAATATACTATAATCCTGGATCCTATTCCTTATTTTTCTTATTCATTTTCTCCTTAAGACAGATCTGTTCAATCTGTTCTTCCTTTGACTTCCTTGGGCCTATCGACATTTTGGACTGGACCTTTGCCTTCCATGATCTTCTCTGGTTTTCCTTTTGTATTCTCATACTTAAAGAGTTCAGCTTGTTTGGTGTGAGAAGAGGTGCGCCGAGATCCTTCAGCGACTGAGGAGACATCAGCAAACTCTCCGCCTTCTCGGGCTCCTGCGAAGTCCTCCTCATGCCAAACATGCGCATGCACGTTGGTGGGGAAGCACAGCTGCGGGACACAGCGGTTGATTCATGGCGGGGTTTCCGGTGATGTATGGTGACATGATGTGACATGGTGACGGGGATTGAAGGGCATTCAGGAGACAGGATAGCGAAGGACGGATGTATTATATGCGTGATATGCATGGCAGCTCAGAGCAAAGATATTATTGTTGTTGCATCTTTAAGCGTGGATGCCATGACACCGTCTTCAAATGCGGTTTGGACACGGTGAAGCATGGGCGACGCTGGTTAGGCCCTGCGAGACAAAATTCTTCGCAACTTGTGCCGTCACGAGGTCCAGAAGTGCAGAAGAAGGGCATCGCCGTGATCGAGCTGACAGAGTTGGAAGAAGAGCCTTGGTTGAGTTGAACATCGTTTAAGCATGTTTAACCCAAGTTGAGAATCTAAGAAGCGCAGGATGTAGAACAGGTGTGGTGGTCAAATGGGAACTGATGTGGAATGTCTCATATTCTCTGATTGCCGAGTTTGGGTCATCCATGATCATCCAGATCCGTGTTTCCTCTGTTCAGGCTTAGGATGGTTATGATGGTTTAGGTCCTTTTCCAAAGGTTCTAAACGTTCCCGGCATTTCGCCACGAAGAGTCAGACCTTGCCCATGGAAGATCTGCGGTTTGGAGAAGATCGATCCCAATCCCAATGATCCACTCTATGTTTAGCGCGCTCTGGAAACCTTAAGTAGGCGCCTAAGAAATAATCCTAAGAACGAAGTAAGGGAGTAAGCTAGCTACTGGGCTGCTTCTAGTAACTTGACGCAACAACAGCTGACGCTTCTTCAAGGAAGCTGCCCGGCCTGAGGGCGGGGGGGAGCTTCCTTGAAGAAGCGCTCGCACTAATGATTTGGTTCCAAGATTTTTGTGAAAACTTCAGATCACACCGCTTTGGTTTTCTGTACGACCTACCCAGCTCCCTGGACGAGGATACCGCTACCACACTGAACGCTGAAGACTTCGAGTGAGCTTCTTTGCTTCACGTCTTGGGGGGCTCTTTCCGCCGTCGACCGAAAAAGTGTGTCACCGGTTTGAGCTAGCCTCACAGAAGCTTGGCAGGTGGGGAAATTGGGTCCTAAACCATCAAACACCCTGTTTGCAGGCGAGGACTTTCCACCCTGTCGTGGTCGTCTTTAGAAGAAACAAGGTCGTTGTCGGTAGGAGCATTGATCACGAGGTTCCTGGACTTTGAAAGACAGGCTATCAGTTTGGTGCTTCCTTGGCCGTGGGACACTGCCCCATCATGACAACACTCGCTATTTCGGTTCACTGCATTTTGCTTAGTTAGTTGCATGTTGGCATGGACAGAGAGAGGTCCTGCAACAGTGCCTGGTGCGCTTTGAAGCCACAAAACTGCCATGGAAACTGACAGCGAAACTTCCAAGTCAAGCCAGCAGAGTTGCCAAACTGCGGAAGTCAAGGATGCCAGCCCGTTCTTATTCTTCTAGTTCCAACATGACAGGTGTAGGTGTGTGGCGTTGTCAAATTAGGAAACAAGATATGCAACATCAATTAACACATAACATTACTAATTGATAAGCACATTTGTTGCATAAAGCCTCCTCAAACGTGTCTTGCAAAGCGATTGACCCGCAGGAGCGGGTCTCCACTATCGAAGCAATGATCAACTTGGTGACAGTGATCATTGGCGCGGGGATCCTGGCATTGCCTCAATTGCCCAGAAGGTGTGGATGGGTTCTTTCGGCCCTGATGCTGCTGATCTCCTGCTCAGCAGTTCAGGAGGCTGCGCTTTGCCTCTGCCGAGCACTTATACAGACCAACTCCCAAGAGTCAAAGGCTGGGGTGAGCCAAAATGTCTTCCTGGGTCTAAGCACCCATCAGACATAACTAGTAAGTTATGTAAGTACAAGATTCTCAAATACAGTGGACATCGAAATATATCTATACACACATTGGACATATCCAAAAACTGATATAATCTGATAATATCGGATATACTATATGATATAATTTTGTATGTCAGATTATTATGATTATTTCAGATTGTATATTAAACTATATAATATACATGTTACCAATCAAATTTTATATGTGTTACACAGGATTGCATTCCTTAGTCCTTTTGATTCAATTTTGCCTCGCTGGCAGATCGTGTCATTCCAGGTGACTACCTTCGAGGCCTTGGGACACCGTGCGCTGGGATGGCAGGGACAGTTGGCCGTGGCCGTGGTGGCGAACACCTTCCTGCTGGGGGTTTGCTCAGCTTATGCGGCCTTGATTGGGATGCAACTCTACAACTTGACAGGCTGTGGGGATCTATGGGGATCTATGGGGCTGTGGCTGCCCATCGTTGTGTTTTTGTGTGGAGCTGTGTGGGCGTGCAGGCATGGCTAGGCTAGGCATGGCTATTTTGGCCATAGTCAAGGCATGTCAAGGCCATATCACAGAGAAAGTGAATGAATCTGGGACGAATTGGTTATCGAATTATGGTGGGGAGGTTGAACGGCCCATTGACAATACCACCATATCATCGAAGACCTACGTATATCCATGGGACCCTCAGATATCCTCAGGCCCAACAGGTGAGAACCTTGCTCAAGTATCATTGTTGCAACACCGCCGCAAGAAAAAACAATATAAATATATAATATTAACATTCGCCATGGTGATCATGGTCCATACCGTTTGCAGGTGTTTTCAATCAACGTGCTTGGGTCCTCATTGCATATCCGATCTTCGTTCTTCTTGGCACCTCGGCAGCACTGGTCGCTACAGCCTGCTTAGCGCTGGAGGTCAGGCTGTGCCCTTGGGAGGTACCGCAGGCGCTGGACCCCAACTATTGAAATGTTTTAGCATTGCATTCTTCTGGTCACCTGGTCTGGAGATTTTTCAATGCCACATGTCATAGGGTGCATTAAAGGGCTGTTGACAGCCCTAGCTGTTGAAGAAGAAACCTGTCCACGACCGTTGAGAAGTCACTTCTTTGGCCCAAAAGAGGCTTGCTGCCCAATTTGTCGGCCTTGTCGAAGCTGGTGCCGCTGGGGATGCTGGCCGCGTGCTTGACAGGGCTTATGGTGATCTGGAGCTCCCTGCAGGACGTGGAGACCTGGCAGAGCTGGAAAACAGGAGACCTAGACATGGAGATCCACGACACGTGGCCATCGCAGCCCGCAGCCTTGGGCTCCGTCCCTCGCCAGGGTAATACCATGGTAAAACAAGTGCATCGCTATTAGTAACTAGAAGCTTCTAATTCTAATAGCTACTTGCTCCTAGTAGTAAGGCACTTGTTACTAGTAGCGATGCACTTGTTCCTAGTAGCACTTGTTGCAAAGTCCAATGGAGGATATGGAGAGTATGGTTTTTTGCTCGCCCGTGCTGGCTTCTGTGGTGTTGACTGGCTTCCAGTGACTTCTGACCACGGTTTGTGTGTTTTTCTGGGTGGGGAGGCGCATTCTGCCCTCCCTGCAATCCTCTCCTCTTGCGCCACGAAATTTGTAAACTCCCCGATTTCTTACCTGCCATGAAATCTGACTTTTGACGCCTGCACCTGCACCCCTTTTATGTTCCTTTTCTTTCACCTCAAACAAACAAACATCAATCTTCCAGGGAGCACTGCCGGGAACCTCCCACCCACCCACCCACCCCACAAAAAGAGTATCCCGCCCAAATCAGAAGCTACTAGGAGCAAGGACGCTACTAGGGGCTCCTGGCATCGCTACTAGGAACAAGAAGCTACTAGTAACAAAGGGCATCGCTACGAACGGAGCAAGGACGCTACGAACGGGGCTAGCTCGGGGTCCCAAACATGCGTGGCACCGGTCACAGACGGAACTGAGAGCCTTTTTTTGCGAGGCCTTGGCAACCTGCTGTGCAGCCTTCTCCTTTGTTCCGGTGGTTCCAGCCATCATCCGGGACATGAGAACACCACAGCACTTCCCACGAGCACTCAATGGAGCTTTGGCCATTTGCGGATTACTTTATTTGGGCGTGATGCTTTGTGGCTGAGCCAATATTTGAAGGGCCTTGCAGGGTAGTTGTATAGTTTATGTTAGTCTATATGGAGCGCAACTTGCCCATTCAGGTGGATATTATGGATATGGCAACTTCATTCGAGATGATATCGTGGAGTCTCTGGGCCAATCCCCGGCCACTTTTGAGGAAGCAATGCATCAGCCAATCAGTGAATGGACAGGCATGGGATGAAAATGGATGACATGGGGAATGTTTAAGGTGGAACACATTGAACACCTCGACCGGGTTGCTCCAGATGCGCAGCAAATGCGGATGTGGCAGCCGACTGATGGCCTAGAAAGAGACATTCTGTTGCCCTAGTCCTCAACTGCACAGAAAAGTCTACCAGACATATTCTTGCTGGCATAGTTTTGCGTGCAGCTTTCTCAAAGCCCGGATCAGCGAAGCCACAGCATTTTGGCTGTCTCCACCTGCCCAACCTTGATTTAGGCAAGTTCCACAACTGCCTGCTTCGCTTTGCTTCTTCACTCCTTTTGATTTTTGTTTGCCGTATTGTTGCTGGCTCGTCTGCAAGCTGCGAAGTACGACCTTCCTACTGGCGCTCCACCTACCGACTGCGCAGGTGCCCGAAGGCCATGGCTTCGGGTCTTCATCTCGATTCTGATTCTGATCAACATCTTCCTCAGCAACTGGAACTGAGAAGTGTCTTTTGTGGGAAGACCGCGGAACTGAGGATTGTGTTTGCGGTACTTCAGAGTATGCGTTGATTGTGAATGTATGTGAATCATGTTGAGTTTCAGACCTATACCTGGAAAGAGTTTCTGAATTTTTCTGTCAAGACTCACGGTCCTGTGAAACAAGGAAACCTGCAGAAACAGGGGGAAAACAGGCCCAAAAGGCGGCTTCCAGCGACGAGCATGCCGCTGACGTGTTGTGTTGTTCCAGGCATGCCGCTCCTAGCCATGGCAGTTTTCTATTCCATCGAGACTCGGTGGGCAGATGGGTCGACTCGAGTCGGTCGCGGGAGTGACGGCCTCGCACAGACTCCGGGCCTCCAATGATATGAGTTGCTTTCAAAAGGTCAAGACGATGCAGTCCTTTCAACATCCAATTGCATCAATTACTGAAGGGTTGTGGTGATCCAACTAGGCGTTCCTTTCGACTCTGGATGATGATTTATCAGAGATGATCAGTACGTATGAATTGGAACGCTGCTGTTTGTTTACCAAACTTTTTATGCTCCCGAAAAGAACACCTGGAACACGATTACGAGATCCGGGTTCTGGTATCCTGCGATGCTTTTCTTTTCGATCAAGGAAAGCTCCTTTGCACACGCAGTGCCGGGCTCCTGGGCCAATTGGGCCATGAGGATCGGCCTTCTCACAGGTGCGACATCGCACCGGGGAAACCAGGGGTTAGGGATGGTTAGGGTACTAGGTCGATCTAGGTCGACCGTGTTTGGTTTCTTTGTCGTGTTCCAGGGGTCGACTCTCCGAAACCCGGAGGTGCTTGGTAAAGCAGCTTTCTTTCGGTTGAGTGGGCTGGTTTCGGTTCTGCTTTGGGACGTTTGTCCTCCCCTTCACTTTGGGACGCTTCCCAACGATCAAGCCCAGAGGCGTTGTTCTGGTCGGAGCCCTGATCGTTGGGGATGATGGTGTTAGGCATGTGTTGGCTACTCCTTGAATCTCCTTGAGGGGCTAACGAGGACAAGCGGTTCAAGAGCAGATATCTTGAGAGTTGGGAGAGCATAAAACGTGTTTGCTCGTCGTAGTCAAGGGTACCCGGCAGATGCTGTTTGCAGCGCCGCCGTTGCCCTTCTTTTTGGACTGGGTGGTGTGCAGACAGCAGTTTCTAACTACTAAGGCATCAAGCTCGTCAAAGTAAGTGTGGGAGGTTTAGGATTAGGTTTGCAGAGCAACCTCTGTTCAAAGGCTGAGGAAATCTGAAGTTAATTGTATCTGTGAAACCAGCATGGAAGTTCAACCGTAGTTTGACCTGAGTTCCTTGGACATCTTGGTTCGTCAGTGGCCCTTCG